GAGAGAGAGAGAGAGAGAGAGAGAGAGAGAGAGAGAGAGAGAGAGAGAGAAGAGAGAGAGAGAGAGAGAGAGAGGGAGAGAGAGAGAGAGAGAGACGAGAAGAGAGAGACGAGAGGGAGAGAGAGAGAGAGAGAGAGAGAGACAGACAGACAGAGACAGAGAGAGAGAGAGAGAGAGAGAGAGATTATTACGACTTCAAGCCGTATGATATGTTTTACATAAATGTTGCAAATATCTCCTATGGGACAAAGATAGTTGACACACAGTAAGTAAAAATAGGATAACTATATAGACAGCTAAAGGGAAACAGCAATGAGAGAAGAGTCCGAGCTTTTTATTTTCATATGCATTCTGCAATGCTCAACTTTCCATTTTTTTCCATGAGATGTACACCGAGTATCAGGAAAAAACATACGATCAAAGTATATATTCCATCTGTTATAAAACGAAAAACAAATATATATATAGGCAAATGATATATACATAAGTAATTTGGATACAGATAACATATATATATATATATATATATATATATATATATATATATATATATATATATATATATATATATATATATATATATATATATAATACATACATATATATATATAATACATACATATATATGTATATATATATATATATATATATATATATATATATATATATATATATATATATATATATATATATATATATATATTTACATACATATATGCATATATATATATATATATATATATATATATATATATATATATATATATATATATATACATATATATATATATATATATATATATATATATATATATATATATACATATATATATATATATATATATATATATATATATATATATGTATATATATATATATATATATATATATATATATATATATATATATATATATATGTGTGTGTGTGTGTGTGTGTGTGTGTGTGTGTGTGTGTGTGTATACATGTATATATATATATTCAACAGCCATTCATTCTACTGCAGGACATAGGCCTCTCTCAATTCATTATTGAAAGGTTATATGGCAGTGTCACACTTGCCTGATTGAATGCCCTTCCTAATCAATCGCGGTTCGGCGCGTTTGACTTCTCAAGGCGATATGTTGTTTTCTCGGGCTCGAGCAAGCAGTCAGAGCGCAGACATATATATATGTGTGTGTATGTGTGTGTGCGTGCGTGCAATTGTAGCTGATTCTTAATGCAACTTCGTATAATCCGAAGCACATTTATAGTATTCATCCGGGCTGTATTCAAAGAGTTGAAAGTCCTTTTCGTACTTCGCAACAAGCTGCCCGATGAGTCTGACCGAAATTTGGTCGAAGAAGGAACAGCCAGTGTCAGCGGACGAGCTGCTGGGCTTCCGCCCCGAGTTTCTCCTCTGCAGAGTCGCTTCCGAGCCGCGGTCCAGGTAGTCCAGGAACTGCTCGGACTCGCCATGTAGGTTCTCAAACCTGCAGTGGATTGCGAGGTACGGGTGAGACGATGTTCGACACTCTTGATAAATGTTGGTTCTACAAGGAAAGGACCCATCCTTGTAGAAAAGTACATTAATTAACACATCGGTAAAAAATGCACACCATCAGTTACGTAGCTGGAAATGACAATTTGAAGAGGAGACAGTAAATAGGACAAAATAAGAAAAAAGGTGTACTATAAATGGCTCTTAATAATGCTTTTGCTCTTGTGAGCTAATTCAACTAGCTAACAGCACAACAAACGCACACACTCACACACACAAATACACACACACACACACACACACACACACACACACACACACACACACACACACACACACACACACACACACACACACACAAGCAATAATAATGATGATAAGAACATCAATCGAGAAACTGACATGCAGCGCAAAGCTTACTTGAGAATGAAATCATAATCAAAGTTGCAAACTGCGCACTGGTCGTGGAACTCCATCCAGTGCGGGTCGGCGTGCCTCGAGGCGACGACGAAGAGCGCGAACTCCCTGAAGGTGGGGCCGAGTGGGTCCGCGAACGGGTTGCCGGGGAGGGCCACGGGCTGCCCCGCCTGGATCTTCGCAGCGACCTGGTACTGAAGCCCTTGCACCTGCGCAGAGGGAGCAGAGGCACTCGGTTCCGTTTCGGGGAAGAGGGTTTATGGAGAAAGTATAATTCATTGGGGCATCGGTTGTAAGCGCGTCGAGACAGGCACGTACCTCAGCTTTAGTCAGCTGCTTAGGAAAGGCTCGAAACATCCTCACCATTTCCTGCCCATAATTAATGTAATACCAAGGCTTGTTTGCGTTCTGGTATTTGTCTCGGTAGGTGGACGCCAGGCGATCGAGGGGATGGCGAACCACAACGAATTTCGTTGTATTACGGGTTCGCTGCGAAAAAAAAAGAGAGGCATCGTAATTTGAATAGATATCTCAGAATTATTCATCATTTCCGAAATTATACGGTATCTTACAATACTGCGCAGTATTTCTGATTTTCTAATTAA